GTGTGGCCTTTTTGAGCCTCCTTGGAGGAATCGTGGGCCATCTTGAAGCCATATTCGGTCGCCATGGGGTCATCTTGGGCCGTCTTCGAGGTGCGTCGTTGGTTGCCTGCATGGGCCGTCTTGGAAGCTGGGGACCCACATGCATAGTTTATCACAGTCGATCGAGGCCTCGGGGGCGCGCGGGCCCATTGTTTATTAGGAGGGATCGTGGCCTTTGGAGGGAGGGCGGTGCATACGGGGATACGCTAGCAGAGTGGTTTGGGAGGCCGCATTCTTCCACGCCTCGGCTTGCACAAGGCACGGTACTGGACTCCCGTGTTTGTCTCCTTCTTTGCTTATCCCTATCCTTCTTATCTCGAACCTTGCCCTTCTTCCTATCTACCCATCCCTGTCCCTAGATCCTCGAGGGTGCATTGTGGACGCCCCGTGTTTGGAGGGTATGTCGGCGGTTCGCCACGTTGCCGCCCGTGCTGCCTCGTGATTCCCCCTGCCCCGAGTTTGCATGACATAGCTTTCACATAGTTTGCACCAGGTTCGCGGTCTATGTCGGCTAATCTTTGTTCTAAGAAACCAGTGGGTGCGTTGCAGGATCTGGAATCGGACAGGTGACGTGTCTCCATTGTCTCCCATTGTCTCCTATGGTCCCTCCCCCGTTGTCTCCCATTGCCGCTCACTATCCCGATCCGTATCCATACTTGTATCTCGTTGTTCCCCGTTGCCTCCTGTTCTCTGGCGTGGCTTCCCTTTGTCTATTCGTGTCCCTCTGCCTGTATCTCTATCCCCCCGTCCCTATCCTGTCTATCCGTAACCTGTTTATTCCTATCTCCGCACATGTATCCTTATCCTTCATAGACCACCCTTCGGGTGATAAGGGGGTTGAGGGGGTGACGACACCTGTGATTTGCATTGGACGCAAAATACAAGGCACGAATGGACACACATCGGGACATCAAGACGGATGTTACGATGCTTGTTTACACATTTGCCGGTATGTGTGTATATATAGACACATACACATATTTATGTATACATCGGTCCATCTGTCTTCTTTCACTTCTCTCTCATACTCTCTCTCTCTACATATACATATATGTATAGACTGGCCTTCGGGCCACCATCCCGCCATCATGCCTGGGCTTTGGTTCAGAGACCCGCTGGATGCTTCTGAAGGTATCTTGGGATTCCTTTCGGGGGACTTGGGATGGTCTTGGGGGCTTCTGGGGGGCATCATTTAGGGGGCCTCTAATTGCGTCTTCGGGGCCTCTTTGGGCGTCTTGGGGGGGGCCTCGGGAGCCTCTGAGGGGGCTTTGGAGGCCGTCTTGGGGCGGAAGGCTCGAACTGTCCGTTCGTGTTCCCCTTCTTTGGTGCCTCTAGGGCTGCCTTGGGGGCCTCTTGGGCCGTCTTGGGGCCCACTCGGGGGGTCTTGGGGCCTGTTGGGGGCCTCCTTGGCAATCCTGGGGCGTCATTGGGAGCTTCTTGGGCCGTCTTGGTGCGTTGAAAATGTTTTAGCAAAAAAAAAGAGGAGGCTTACATCTTTTAAACACTGGTGGAAGAATCGTAGATTTGGGACTCTGAAGGCTCTCTTGGGGGTGCCCTCGGGATTTCCTTGCGGCTGCTTGGGGGCTTCTTTGGCAGCCTATGAGCCATGATCAGGATCTGGGGGCGGTATTAAGGCGACTCGAGGCTCTCCTGGGCCGTCTTCGCGGCCTCCTCGGTCCGTCTGGGCCCGTCTTGGGATCCTCCTGGCTCCTGGCTTCCACAAGACGCACGCGACCCCTTCCTTAGCTCCCAGAAATTCCTGGCCGCGCCCGGGAGCGCCCGGGAAAATGGGTGCCCGGGCCCTCCAGAATCTAGAGCCTTGGTTTCAGCAGCAGCAGCACAGTTGCGGGCCTTGGGAGACTACACTTCGTGCCAAGGGCATGGTGTCGGATATGCATAATTCTGTCGATCTAAATGCTTCGCAACCTGACACTTTGTGTATACACTATCTACCTCTCAATCTCACGTTCTGCCGGTCGCACTTCCCATTAACCGACATCAATGTCGACGTCTCTCTCTCTCTGTTTCTCTCTCTTTCTCTATCTACATGTAGGTCGATATCACTGTCTGTCGATCGGGACAACCAGGGGGCAAAGGCAACTGCTTTATCTGTCCATATATCTGAATCTCTATCTCACCGGCTCTCCACCTGTAACCATGTATCAATCCACATATAGATACACACAAGTCGTACGTCAGTGCCCAGGCTCATATAAACAGACGCAGCACGATGCAAACGGAGTCCCGCACAAGAACAGGACATTACGCTGCCATGGGTTCGTAATGAGCGGTGGCGGTGACATGAATGCAGCGCGGCGCAGCGAAGGGCATAATACGTAGGGCGCAGCCGAAATAAGGAGACATCGACAGGGCACAGTTCACTTCCCACTGGGCTCTTTCCCCTCAGGTCATGCTGGTCTCACAAGTGCAGCACTGTGTATGCTGAATTCACGGCTTGTCCAACGGCCCATCGGCGTGTGAAGTGGAGGGGCTGGGTGTGAGGAAGGGTAGCGATGCAAAACAAGGTGTATCCGCCGTCTCTGTCGCCGCCGCTCGCTGCCGATGCGCCGTACTGCGTTTCCGCAGCTATTGTTTGATCAAGTGGGCACCGCGGGCCCGACCTCGCGCGAGGAAAGCGAAGCGTGCGTCGGGTCGTCGTCTCCCTTTCCCGTGCACATATCACATACACCAGCTTTACGGACGTGACCGCCACGTCGTCATGCGGTTCCCAGACTACGGAGGAGATTGGCTTTACATGATCATCGCGCCCCAGATTCGCACGGTACTGCATGCCCCTGGCCAATAATACCTGATCAGAGCCGACGAACGAGAAGATTTTCAGGAGTGGCGAAGTGCAGAAACGAAGCGGAGCGAGCAGGAGCCCAGAGGAGACAAGGGAAAAAGGGGGAGGGGCACGATGGCGAATCGAGGAGGGGCGAGGAGGAGGAGGAGGAGAGCAGAGGAGGACATGCGAGTAGGAGGAGGAGGGCGAGAAGGAGCAGGGGGAGGTGGACGAGGAGGGGGGAGGCGTGGCATGATATCCACGTGCGCAAAAGGAAGAGGAGGAGGAGGAGGAAAATGAGGAAGCGGATTACGATGACGACAGGAAGCCTCTTCATCCTCTTGGCGTTCCTTATCGTCGTCGTCTTCCTTGTCCACTTGCTTGTCCCTCGTCCATTTCCTCCTCCTCCTCCTCCTGCTCCGCCCCTTCCTCTTCGTCTCCCCCCTCCTCGATCTGGCTTGCTCCTCTCGGTCCTCTCCGGGGGTGCGGAAAAGGAGGGGGGGATGATGATGATGATGAGGAGGAGGAGGAGCATGAGAAAAAAAAGGAAGTAATTGGAGAAGCAGCAAGGAAAGGATATAAGAAGGATAGCGAGGATGACCAGAGGGCTGTTGGGAAGGAAGCGCCACAGCGGCAGCGGGATCGCAGTCGAATGCAGGTGGGGTTGCCGCGCCTCGCGACAAGTGTGGCCGAGGAGGGGGTTCCACACCTTGCCATCGCGGTTGAAACAGCGCTCCGAACCAATGATTCATGGATGTCCCGAGCGAAACGGTCGCTCTTGACAAACATTTGAGGACAACTCTGAGAACGCTTGGTTTCGGCCTCACGCGAGCCTGTTGTTCCTTGTAATCAATGACGTTCAAATGTAATGGTTTCCGTTGTGTTTTAGGTTGGGAATCCGTTGTGAATTTGGATTTTGACGTCGCGAACTGCGTGTGGGATGCGACCGGCTTTCGTGATTATAAGGATGCTCCTTGCGAGCCGGCCAGACAGTTTGCAAATGGGAACGGGCGGCTTCAACTCATCGCCTCTGAGCTCTGCTCCCTGGGAGAGGTGCGTCCGGCAAAGTTGCATTATTTGTAAGTGTTCGTACGTGGTTGCTCGCAGGGGGACTTTCGTCCCGCAGGATGGGTTTTCATTCCAACATTAGCCCGCAGGGCGTATTTCTATCATCGCAGCGCGCATTGGCTGTTTGCCCGCAGGGAACATTTGTGTTTGCCCAAGGGGCCGCCGGGCGCACTACTTCGGTACCATGGACGCACTTTGTGGTATCATGGCCTCGCAGAGTGCATCTTTTGATGCGACGGCCTCGCAAAACTAACGGGACACCCATCAGGACAACCATCAGGACAGCCATTCGGACAACCATCGGGGCGACCATCAGGACAACCATCGGGACATCGATCGGGATAACCGTCGGGGCAGCCAGTGGGACAACCAGGGGACAACCATCCGGACAGTCATCGGGACAACAGTCGTGACAATCATCGGGGCAGCCATCGGTACAACGATCGGGACAACAATCAGGACAGCCATCAGCACAACCAGTGGGGCAACCATCGAGGAAACCATCGGGACAACCATCGGGACAACCAATGAGACAACCATTGGGGCAGCGAGCACACCATGGCTGCCGATAAAGGGCTCTTTCTTTTTTGTTTTTCATTACAATTTGGCCCCGGCAAGTGGAGGAACTCGCGCAGTTGTTTCGCCCGCACGTGCATCACGTTCAAAACGAAACGATGCCCCGGTTGGGGCGCATTGTTATTCACGTCGATCTCACCCCCCAACCTCCGACCTATAGTCCTAAACCATATAACCATATCCCAATCCCGATCCCCCCGTCGTGCCCCCCCCCGTAGTCACCGCACATCGTGGTCCTCCCATCGTGACCCCTTATCGTGGCCTCCTATCGTAAGTACGTAATGCTGTTGAGGGTCTTCTGCAGTAAGAGCGCACTGCTGCTTTTGAGGGGCGCGTTGTAGAACATGATGCTATCCTGTGTCGTAGAAGGCTTGCCGAGCGTACCTTTTTTTTTTTTCCTGGGGTGTGTGGCAGTGCCGACCTCCTGCCTCCGATGCACCGTTTCCGATACACCGTTCCCGTTGGCTCGAGGTCGCGCCATGTGTCCAGTTCTTGCTTCTCAGTTTTCGCTTGCAGTTGGTATCGCTTTCTTGATGGGCAGGGTGTCGTCAATGGGTCGGGCGTCAGCGAGGCATCGTGACCATTGCAAAGTGCTGCTGCATTCATGGCACGCCGCACGCACAGCAGCGCACATGCCATCAGAAGCTTGAAGCCCACAGGCCATCCATGGGTCAAGCTCCCACCGAGACTACTGCCCACCTTCCATCCTCCTTCCCCTTCTCTGTCACAACTCTCCCCCTCCCTGTCTACCCTCCTTCACCTCTTATCCGCCCCCCTTCTCACCCTCCCTTCTCTCTCCGCTCTCCCTGTCCCTCCCCCCCTCCGCCCTTACCCCTCCCCTCTCCATCTCCATCCAGCTTCTCCATCCACCTCCCTCCCCCTCACCCATTTTTCCCTTTCCTAAGTATTCATTTCTTCACGTCATCCCATCCAGTACGATATGTTCCGCCTTTGTTCTTCGTGTAGGCTCGTTCATTCCCGCCTCGCCTCGCCTCATCGTGTTCTGCCTATTCCCGTAGTGTCTCGCCTTGTTAGGTTTGGCATGGTAATGCGCATTTTTCTTGTCCCTCCCTCGCCCCATCCCCGTCCCCTCCTGCCCATTCCAACATTCACCTTGCCCGTCAATACATTCCCATCCTCCGCCTCTAGACGTACCTTTTCCTCTGCTACACCCCCCGCAATTAACAATCTGAGTTTTACTATCCACTTTCCCCTGGATATGTGCTGAGAGTGGCTCGTATTATTCCGCGTATGGCGTTTACACAGGATGGGTGAGATTTGTGTGTGTGTGTGTTTCTCAGGCGCTGTCGTTCAAAGCGAAACGTGTTCGGTCCATCTGAACTGGCGCTCCCGCAGCAGCGCGGGCCTCATTACAAGATCGGCGTTGTGCTCCTGTCTTTCAGAATGACGGTATCGCCCCAGCGCGAGCCATGTGTTTGTCTCTGAATCATTGCCACCGCCCCATGATTGCCCCTCCTCTGCTTTCCACTGGTCCTTTTGCTCCCCTGGCTCATACCACTCCAACTCCTTCTGCTTCTTTTCATCATCGTCCTCGTCTTTCCTCATGCTCTTCCTGCTCATCCCCCTGCTCATACACAACTTCTTCAACTTTGCGCAGCTCTTCGTTTCCGAATGGTCATAGCACGATGTGTGTTTTCCTATAGTTCCAGGTCCGCTATGGCACGCGTCGGCGGATGGCGAAAACATGAGCGCAGTGAGAAGGAGTGGGTGGGAGGGTTAGGGTGTCATGCATGGCGCGAGCGCACCTCGCTTATCTCCCCTTTTCTCCCATCTCCCCCCTCCTGTCCCTGCCTCCCTCTCCACTTCTCTCCCTCATTCTATCCTCCGCTCCCCTCCTCCTTCGCCGCCTCTCCTCTACCTTTTCGCCCCCCCCCCCCCCCTCGGCCGCTCATCTTTTTTCCTGCACCCCTTGCTTGAGAGGAGGAGGAGGAGCGCTGTACCGCCGATTGGCTCCCTCCTGCTTCCTCGTCGCGCCCCGTCCCTCTGCGCCCCTGCTTGGCTCACAGCGCCAACGGCGTGCGCCTGTGGGCGCGTTCCTCCTCCCCCCCTCTCCTCCTCGCTCCTCCTCCTCCTCCTCCTCCTCTTCCTCCTCCCCCTCCTCCTCCTCCTCCTCCTCCTCCTCCTCCTCCTCCTCCTCTTCCTCCTCCCCCTCATCCTCCTCATCCATCCCCACGCCCACCCCAATCAGCATCCTCGTCCTGTTCAAGTTGTTCAACCTCTTCCCCCGCCGTCTCTGTGCCGCCGCCGCCTTTCTGCCGACACGCCGTACTGCGTGTCCACAGCTGTGTCAGTAAGGGTCAAGGCGTCACTTCGGGACACTTCCGCGCGTGGAAGCAAGAGCGTTGACCAGGTCGTCGCCGTGTCGTCGTTCCCCTTTTCCCGTGCACATCTCTTTTACACTTTAGTTTAGTGGACATTGCCGCCATGTCGATACGAGAGGTCCGGCGCACCATTATCAACCAGAAATAGCAAGGATTGCACCCTGTGCACCTATGAACATAAACGGAGCGTCTGGCGTAACTGTACAATCTACAATCGCAGAACGTTCTGGAAACACCCTAGTAGCATAATCGGCGAGCCAGCCGCCCCGAAACATGATCCCAATCTCATTCATTGATGAACCGATCGTGCAGACTCTGGGAGAAGCTTCGGCGCTGGCTCAAACAACGGCTCAAGGCGATGACATCGAACGTGGCCTATCCGCCACTATGGATTCCGATTGTCCAAGTTCAGAGCTTGCAGTGATCAGAGGGCGCGCAATGGTGGCTTCGCTGGGGCGCGTAAGAGACGCTACTGGGGGAACCCTAGTGCCGAAACGGCCTCAGGTACCAGACTACAGTAGCATGAAACAAGGTTCCCCTATGAAGGTTTCTAGCTTAAGTGGAAGCTTGAAGAAGCTAGTACTTCTCTCGTGATGCGAGAAGTCGCGGGGGCACCAGGTGAACCCATGTTTCCACCTTCGACTGCTTAGGGGCCAGGCCCTCAATTGCCCGTTGATGTCGAGATTGCGTGGGAGGTCGAGGAGCAGTCGGGGTTCCCGCGGTTCGTCGTCGGGTCATGACTCGATCAGGGTAGGTTGTTGGGCAATGGGTCACGGTGCCAGGTCGCTGCAGCAATCCAATGCCAGGGAAAAGTGGGACAGGCTGATGGCCCGTGCTTTCGCCCTGTATGAGGATTATGTTCACACATCTGTCCGCACTGCAACGTGAATTAGCTTTTGTCAGTTTGCATTGGAACGACGGAACACCATTGCCACAATTTTGCTTGTGTTGCTTGGCGGCAGAAAGAGGCAGATAAAAAATCGCCGCGGGGGAAGAATGCTTTCAACATCATCTGATTGCTCACATGCACGGGCTGAAGCTGCAAAAGGACGAACAGCTCTGGCATATACAGAGCAATCCAGAGAATGTGTTACATGTTGCGCAGCAGGCGCAGCTCAGCCGCCTCTCGACGTCGGAGGCAGCTCAGCCGTCCTTGATGGAGTCCGAAGATAACAATACCATTATGGAATAACTTGCCATCTTAATGGTTTTGAAAAAAGGAAACGGGCATTGAGGGAGAAATGGCCACCATGGAATTGCACGTTCAATTTGTGTTGCAGGTTGCCGCAGACTTGGCAAGTAACTATGACCACAGGGTGGAAGTAGTCCTTCAAGAGAAGGCGGCTCAGGCTGCTGCAAGTGTCCAGCAAGGCAAGGATAACGCGTCTGCCGCGGTGCAGCAGGCAACTCTTCGGGGGCGCGTTGCCACCGAGCGCGCGAGGAAAACGAAACAAGAAATGCGCGAGCTTAACCAGGATCTGCGAGTTAGACAATTACGGGCACACGCATAGTTGAAGGCCGCGCAAGGGAATCACCTCCAGGAAGGATCGTCTAAGAGAGAAGACCTCTTGCAGGTTTCAACCTGCGGCGCTGGGGAAACGCGCGCCCACGTTGCCGACCGAGCCTGCGATGTTAGAGGAGCCGACCAGCCGACGTCTGGGGCCGAGTCTCCGAAGCAGACCCAGGAGCTCGCGCCCGCCTTCGCCGAATGGTTCAGCCACTGCGCCAACCTTGGTGGATGAGCGAGCAGGCGAACTACCTCTCTGTGGGTGGGGCGAACGCGAACGATCGCAGCTTCGTTGAGCTTGGAGCTTTGCCGTGCTTCCACGATGCCAAAACATGAGGATCACGCCCAATGCTCTAAGTCTCGATGCGAGGGCAACGTTGCCAAGGAAAGACCAAAGGAAGAGCGCGTGCGACCCCGGCAATGTGAAAACAAGCGAGGGCGGCTGCCCTCACCAAACAAGCGGCAATTTGGTAGAGACGATCCGAAAATAACAGGAATAACTTGAAAAAAGGCCAAACGTTCCATGAGAGGGACAAGAACAGGAATCCCCAGAATCCCCGGGTCACCTGGGGCCCCCCTGCCCCCCCCCCCAGTCAGGGGAGGGATAAAGGGAAGGGCATCGTCTGTACTGCGACGTTCATCCCTTTGTTCGTTCCTCCATTGTCGCGGGGCTGGCGATGACGACGAGGACAGCGTCTCGCGCGCGCCGAAGGGTCGGCGAATTTCCTCTGGTAGTCTACGATTGTATCCTCTGTTTTCGGGCGAGCCACGGCCAGTTCATCGCCCAGCATGCCGCGCGCCGCTGTCCCGTGCCGCTGCCGCTGAGGCTCCGGCCGGCTCTCTTGCACTCAGACATGCCCGAGTGCCTCGCGCGTGGATCCGCCTCGGCCGAATCGCTGCCGCCTCTGGCGCAGGGCATTCGTGCAAGAGCGCGCCGATGCATGAACGGAGACCAGTACCTCCAGATGTTCTCCTCGTTGTGTCTCCAAGCGCGCATGCTTGACCCGGTGCTTGGGGCTGGAGTGGTCGCGGCGTCTGGCCGGCGCCTGAGGGGCGATCCGACGCGCCTCGCAGTCGTTTCAGCCGCTCCCCCATATAGCCGAAGTTGCATTTTGGCTTCAACCTGTTCGTTGAGTTGGGGGCATTCGAGGTGGTGGTCCTCCTGGGCCTCCTGATCATCGAGACGACCACCGCGATGGAGATGGCGGCCGTGGTTCTGGTCATTGGCGTCGCCCCGCTGATGGGTGAGCTCCTGGCGGTGCTGATCCTTGGTGCGCGGGCGCTGAGTCTCCGGGGAGCCCTGGTGCCGTTGGAAAGTGCTATCGGCGCCGCAGCGGCCTTCATCTTCCAGCTCGTGCGCATTTTTCTTTCGGGCCCGAGCATCCTGCTAGACCTTGCCTTCCAGCTGGCGTTGATCGTGGTAGTGATGAACATGTGGGCGCCGAGCTTCGGAGAGAAGACGTTGGCGCGGGGGCCTGGTGGGCCCCCGCTCCCCGCTGGCGGTGAACATCGTGGTGGGGCTCGCGCTGGTGCCGTGTGCCTAGTGGTGTTCAACCAGCTGGGCCCCGTATTCTTGCCGGGGCCGATTACCGCGACGATGATCGCGCTTCTTCCGAGCTTCGTGGCGCAAGCGGTCGGGCCTCAGATGATGGCGGTATTCATCATGCTGCGCTTCGTCTTCCTGCTGGAGTCGGTCGCCGTTCAGGATATCGGGTTGGCGCCGAGCCCCATGACATAGAACCTCGTGTTGGTGACGAGATTCCTGAGAGACCTGCGCTTGCAGAGAGTGCCAGACCTTGCCGTGGTAGTCCTCGCCCGCGTGTTTGCCAAGAGAGGAGTGACTGCCGTTGGAGGTGGCCTGTCAGTTTCTTATGTTCTGGCCTCCCCCTTGGACCGAGCCCCTGGCATTCTTCGTGCCGATCTTGTTGGTCGTGTTGGTTGTCATTGTGCTGGTCTTACCTCTCGTCCTTGTGACGTGGTTTACGTTTTTTCTGTTGGACCTCATCTTCGTGGTGGAGTATCTCGTCGTGGTGATGATCAAATGGGCGAGAGCACCAGGGTTGCAAAGTGAGTGCTGGAGGCGATTGCTATGTGCATCTTGATGGGCCTTCTCTTCCTGCTTGCGGCGATGGGCCATGCTGGTGCTGAGCCTCGTGGCGTTCAACCTGCTGGAACTCCTTTTGCTGGCGGGGCCGATCGTCGCGGTGACGCCAGCTCCGAGCTTCGTGGTGGAGGCGTCGCTGCTGGAGCTGATCGTGGTGCTCGTCTGGCTAAGCTTCATCATCCTGCTGGAGTCGTTCATCGCGGTGAGGATCGCGCTGATGCCAGACCTTGTGTTAAAGACAAGTGTATGAAGGTAAAGCAGCCGTTCATGGTGATCATATTTCCCTGTAGGTGCCGTTCGTCGCGCGGGCCGCTTGTGGGAGGCCGCTCGAGATGATCACGGTGACGACGGCGTGGGCGATGGAAGGCTTTCTGAGGTGTGGTAATTTGTCTAAGTCCCCGTTGTCTCAGCTTTGCGAAGTCTGGCGGCTGGCGCCTTCTTCCCTTCTCTCTTCTCCCTATGCTGCTGACGTGATGGACGCAACGAACATTGCATTCCGCATTGACGTCACCTTGCGGTCTAAAAAGCTTGGGTTCGAATGAAGTCTCGCCTCGATATCCTCGGATGCTGGTTATCGTTGTCCTAAGGTGGTACGCCAGAACAGAAAACGCACTATTGACCAAGGTATCCGTTCGCTTGGTAGACTGCAGTTGGTGTCCGATTCAGACGTCTCCAAGTTGGGCAGCGGTGAAGGTGCCGAGCGGGGGGAACATAACAACAATTCATGTCCACATCCCCACGCTTAGTACGCCATTATCCATCTTCCATCTTGGGCCTCCAACCCTCACCCTCGTCTTCAGCATGCCTACCTTCTTCATACCTCCTCCGCTTCCTGCTTGCTGCAGTGTCCCCTCCAACTGTTTCTTACTTGCTCTCTCCTAATATTTCCCTACTCGAGCTCCTACGTCCACCTTCAATTCGCCCTCCTCGTCCTACCAGCCGTCCGTCATCGTCGGTCTTCCTCTTCCTTCCCGCCAGTGGGTGCGCCGGCCGCCTCATGGCGGCGTGGTTCAGGTTCCTGTCCCCTGAGGCTTTGGGACCAGGGCGAAGGCATGAGGAGAGATGGCCCGAGACTCAGAAGGCAAGGGTCATGGTAATGAGAAGGAGAGGATTCCAGGGGAGAGAGTGAGATTAGTGGAGTGCTTTTGCTCCGTCGCCATGGCCTTCTCCGTCTTTTGCGTCCTGCCGAGTCGTGATGCGTTTGGTGGTGGCTTGGTGGAACTACTCCAGCAAAGCGCTACTCTAGCAGCACAGGTGAAGAGGCTGGTCGAAGAGTAGGATGTCGGCTTGTGAAAACGGGTAATCTTAGGCATTCCTAGGGCCTCCTAATCGTGCCAGGGGTGAGAGTACGGCCATGTGCACCAGACAGACAGACAGAGGAGCCAGGCGCCCGGGCGGCGCATCGGCAACAGAGCAATGACAAAGGATGGACCCGCCCCCGCGCACACCGGACACGAAGACGCAGTCCGTTTTCCCTCGGGGCCTGGTGGGCCGTGCAGCAGGGACGGGAGCACGGAGGCGTGTACCGTAGGGCTTTCGCTGCCTTGGCATCGCTCCGACGTGCGCATTTTTCCTTCGGCGAGGACCATCGAGGAGCATCCTTGATCATTCGGCGAAAACCACGCACGAACCCGAAAAAAACACAGGGAATGGACCTCTGAGCGATGGCCAGCTGCAGGGGACTGTGGCCGTGTGGCGGGGGTGGGAGCACGGCGGGGTGTGCCGCAGTGTTGGAACAAGGGGTCGTGGCCGTCGGGACCAAAAGTGGAGTTGGCGGGCGAGAGCACGGCTCCCGAGTCGGAGGGAGGAGAGGCGGTACCAACACCACCAGGGGCCCACCTCCAGTGAGGAGGTCCACGGTGCCTCCCAGAGCTGGATGCTGGGGATGCCTCGAGCGAGAGGGGGGGACCACACCACCAGGGAGTTCCCCCCTGCCTCCTCGCAGCTCCTCGCCCTGTTGGTGTTGGTGTCGCCCCTCCTTGCGCCTATCATGCGGAGCGGCTGCCGCACCAGCTACCGGACCAAGCGTGCTCGGGCGCCCCGTCTCCCCTTTGTGGGACTCTTCAGTAATGTTCGTTGACCTGGGGTCGAGCCTTCTGGCGAAACGCCATCACGGAAAAGGGCGCATGGCAAAGTGGAAACGTTCAGAATACACTGTTTCGTAACCTGAGATTGTGTTTGTGTCTCTGCAGTAGACTATCACGTCAGCCTAGCGTAGACCGCGGTCGGCTAGCACAGCGACTATGTATTATTGCGGCTTAATGCCGATCGATTTTGTGTGGTCACATCGCTGATGTTCGACATTTGCCAGATGATTCAGCGACAAAAATCACAATATGTTCATGAACGCAGTGTGAGGTCTAGGCAACGGCGACTGATTCCTGTGCTGATTCGCATCGTTAGTAGGATTTCTTTCGAGCTGAAGTCAGTGTTCCAACAGTCCCCGTGCCTTTGCACACATGCTGTATAGTAAAACACGCCCGATGCCGCCGTCGGGGCGCTTTGGGATTTTTGGCGTTGAGCGTGGCAAGACTTGGTTAATTGTGTCTAACGAGGGGGGAGGGGAAGAAGGGGGGGGAAGTTTCAAGACTGCCAAATTTAGTGTGAAGACGACGCAAATCTGCTCAACGCAGCTGCAATACGGCCCAAGACCGCTTCTCCAGGATCGGCCCCGATTGTCTCAAGAGGGCCACATGCGACGCGAAGACCTCCAGCAAAGCCACGGCAGACCAGTGTGGCCTCCCAAAATGTTTCTTCCCATGTTTCCAAGACATCGAAACTAAGTCGTCGTCGTGTTCGCTGGTCATGGTGTTCCGCTTGGCAACTGGTCATATTGTGCCAGGGACCAGCCTTGGCCTGTCCTCTCAAGAGTGCTCCCCGAATCCTAGTAGACCCGCTAGACAACTGCCCAGTGTTTTGTCTGGGCGAAGCCCGTGGTATTTTCGGCGCCCCCTTGTCACGTAAAGCAGCTTGGTTGCCGCTATGGACTGATGAATGCACAGAGCATCCCTGCTCCTGCAGTCGCGGTATAATCATTCCTGGTGATCGGTGCGTGACGATTGGTACGTCCGCCGAGTTGGAGCATCTAGAAAGGGATGGGTCCTCAGTGTGCTGCCCGACGCAATCCGTCTGGCTGGGGACAGCAGCCGGCTTCAAGATGCAGTGAGTGACGCCTCCGCGTGGCGGCACGAAGTGCGTCATGCTCGTGTTCGTAGCTGCTGTGCCAGTATGCGCGCCCATGGGTTGCCACAGCCTACGGCACGAGCGAGCGTGCAGGGGTGCGTGGCGAGTACGGTAGAGGGAAACAGTTGGTGGACACCTCCCCGCCCCCCAAAACTCAAAGCTGGCACGCGAGGGGAAGCATGCGGTCGAAGTGCAGCTGATTTCACTCACCGGCAGCACTGATCATTGGGGGAGGGTGTCGACAGATGAATGCGGCATGGTTGTTCGCTAATTTCTTCCGGGGCCTGTTCAGCCTCGAACCTATCTTTATCCCTAAGATTGACACGCCAAGAGGAGATGACAATCTTAGGGATACACCCTCAGAAACTGAGGAAATCCCTGAGATCGCCATCGTGATGGGGCGATGCCCAACATAGGGATAGGGATATGTTCCAGGCTGGTAACCTGTCTGCCCACGGAGGCACTGGCTTGCTGCTGTGCCCCAGACCGGCCTCCGGAGACGAGCCAGCTGCGCTACGTCAAAGGCCGCCCGCGGACTGGCGCGCGCGCGCTGCCTCTCCTGTGCTGTGCGCCGGGCAGGGGTGTCCTTGATTGCCGCTGGGTGAGGCAGCTTTCCAGCCTGGAACATATCCCTATCCCTGTGCTGGGCACCTCCTCATCACGATGTCAATCTTAGGGACTCCCTTATTTCTTGAGGGCGAATCCCTAAGATTGTTATCGCCTTTTGGCGTGTCAATCTTAGGGATAGGGATACGTTCGAGGCTGGTAAGCAGCGGAGGGCCTAGCGGGAAGGGGAGGAGGGGGTTCTTCGGGTAGGGGATCGGCTACAGAATCGATTCATCCAAGCATTGATTTCCCATCGAATTTTGCGACGAATACGCGGAGTTTTCGCAACTCGACTGGGAACTCAAAGAATTGTCCTATAGATTCGACGAGGAAGTCAATTCTGGGGTAAATCAATTCTGTAGCCGATCCCCTACTCGAGCTCTAGGCCTCCTAGATGAGGTCCGAGTGGATGGGGTCGGAGGGTCGCGCCGCATCGCCGATGCATCGCCGATGCGGCTCGATGCGGGGCCGATTTTCTCCACGCCGATGGCGCGGATGCATCGCTGACGTTGCCGATGCATCGCCGATGCATCGGCGATGCGGCGCGATCCTCCAACCCCATCTACTCGGACCCCATCTAGGAGGCCCCTAGGGGTGAGGGATGGGGGGGGGGGAACGGGGGGGTGGAGCTGGGAAAAGTTCGGAGGGGCGACGGGGGTTCGGGAGGGGGGCTGGGCAGGAGTTGGGCAGCCATCGGTCGCGAACGGCGAACTTTCGAATGGGTAGCGCTTCCATGCGTACTTACGTTGTGGGGAGAGGCACGAGCAGCGACATCGTATCGCGTACACCCTGTAGTCATCGATGTCTGCCCTTTGCTTGCGTCTCGTTCTCCTCGCGCAGAGCCAATCAGGACGTAAGCGGCCGCTCGCCACCGCCTCTGAGCTGCCTACTCTCACTTCTGCTGGACTACCCTTTTCCTCAAGGAAGTGCTCCCTGTCACGCCATCAGACGTGTCCGCATGGCGGTCTGGGCGTTTGAAGTCAGCTCCTCCCGGCGGCGGCGGCGGCAGCGGAAGTGGTGGTGGCAGCGGGGGCGGGGATGGTTGCGGCGGTGGCAGTGGCGGCGATGGCGGAGGCGGTGATGGTAGTGCTGTTGGCGAGTGCGGTGGTGGAGGTTGGAGTTTGGCGGTGACCGCAGTGGACGCTACCATGGCGGCAGAGGCCGCCAGACGGGGCGCAGCCCGTGCCCGGCGCCCGTTGGCGCCCGCGGGCAGTCGCAGGCGCCCGCGCGCGCCCGCCGCCGAGCGAGGCCTGCCGCAGGTGCACGCGGGCTCCGGGTGTGCGCACTGGTCCGCGGGCGTAGGCGGATGCCCGTGTCAAGCAGTGGCGAAGCGTCCTGACGTGCCCAGTGGCCTACCGAAGAATGTTCTAGGAACCTTTTTCTGTGGTTTCCACGAAGTGTTCTTAAAACATTTCTGGCTGGGGCTGTCTTGTTTTAACACGTGAGGACTATTTTCTAAGAACGCTGTTTTTGTTCTTAGAACATCTTTCGGTTCTGAAAACATTTCGTAGTAGGCCTATAGGAATGCCTTGACGGTCGGTCCCTGCTCAACCCGTGGCGTCGCATTTTCAGAGAACTCAGCGCTCGTGCGGACGTCTCTGCACGCACCAGCGTCGCCGGCGAGGGGCCCGAGAACGCGCCCTCGGCCCGCGCTTGCGTCGAAGTCGTCATGCCCACGGGCGGCGCAAGCGTGGCGCCCGCGAGCTCCCCTTCACCGCGCTCTGCAGGCAGACCGGAGGCCGTTCTAGGCCAGATGAGGGGCGCGCGTGTTCAGCACGCCGTGTCGCGCGTTGCGATTGCCGGCGTCGCCGCGGCTCGCCGCTGTGCTTGCGTCTGCGCGCGGCGCGGCAAGTGCATGAATGCGCCGACGCGATCGCGAAACGCGCGGCGCGACGTAGGCCTCCGCCTGTAGAAACATGCCAAATGTCGTCACCGCAATAGATAGCGGCACGTCGCGAGCTTCGCCACATTTGCGGAGCAACTAGTGGCGCCCAGTGCACTTCAACGCGGCAGCCTTCGGCGCGCGCGCCCAAGTCGCCCGCGCCGCGCGCCAAGATGCCGCTCGCGTCAACGGCGCGCTTTTGCTTCGCCCAGGCGCATTCTCGCGCCGCGTGGACACTGCGCTGGCTGCGCGCGCGCTGATTCCCAGCGCCGCGCGTCCGTGCGCGCATCGCCAGCGGGCCGCGCGTTTGCGGCAGGCCCTCCGCGGCTGCCTCCCGCGCAGCCGCGGAGGCCAGCGGCGCGCGGCCGCGTGGCTGCCGCCCCCGCAGCGCAGGCGAACGATGCGCTGCCCTCCTCCTCCTCCTCCTCCTCCTCCTCCTCCTCCTGCTCCTCCTCCTCCCCCTCCCCCTCCTCCTCCTCCTCCTCCTCCTCCTCCTCCTCCTTCTTCCCCTCGACGAGCAACATTTTAGGAACAAGTGTTGGTTCCAGGTCCTAGTGTCTCTTGGCTCGGTCAAACAGCGCCGCGTTCAGTCGTATGAAGACCTTGCGGCAGTTCTCCGAAAGTAGTTTCGTTTTTGACACGTGGCTCTCGGCTGGAGCTTCAGCAACCGTTGCGCTCCTTCCACAAGTGTTCTCGTCGGAGGTCTCGTTGAATGTGATTGCACATACTTCGTCGCACTCCGTGTAGCCAGCTAGAAAGCAAGGCAAATCCTTTCCGAATTAGGGCTGCCGTATTCACGGCAAGCCCATGGTTAGTCTTTCAAGGGATTTTGGGGGGGGGCACATGGGAGGGCAAGTTGTGTTGCATCATCCTTGGCACATGTTGGGTTTGGTTTGGTCCTGCGTTTCCGTCCAGTCCGCCTCCGCCTCGCGCTACTGGTGTTGCTCCTTTGCCCCCGTTTCCTTGTTTCCCCTCGTTTCGTTTTCTTCGCCATTCCCCGGTCCCGGAGCCGTTTCCTCTGGCCGAACGGCCGTCTCGCTCCTCGTGCTTCCCAGTGCAGAGGCCTGCGGGGGCGGCTTGGGAGGCGAGGCAGGAGGCCGACGGGACGCGGAAGCCCCAGGGGCGGACAGGGGCGGAAGGGCAGCGGGAGGTCGACGCGGGGGGTGGGGGACGAGGGCAGGCAGTGCACCGACCAGAGGGCGCCCGCCTGCTGCCGCAAGGCGATTCGCTGCGCGAGGAGACTCTGGGCATCCACCGCAACGCGCCGCCGTACGCGATGCCCAGCTCTGAATGGTTCGCTGGCCACCAGGCCACGGTCGTGGATGGGGGTGCAGGAGGGGAGATGAGAGGCGGCGGAGGAGCATGCAGCAGGCAGAGGATGAGGAGGAGCGGTGTGGGAGGTGAGTGGCACCACAAAGTCATGCGACCTCGGGTCCGAAACGTGTGTTCCGCTGCGCGCGCTGTCGGATTGCTATCCTCTATCTTCGAGCATAGGCTGTGTCGCGGCCTCAGAGCTGGCTCGAAAGACGATTCCTCGCGTCTGTGCGGCATCCCTCCTGCTTACCAGGCTGTGTGTGTGTGTGTTTCGAGGCCTCAGGTGAGTTGGTTCCTCCACGCTGCATGGCTGGGGCAGCAGGGGCACCTCTTCTGCGATGGACCCCTGGCATCGCTCGGACGTGTGCATTTTCCTTTCGGCGAGGACCATCGAGGACCATCCTTGATCATCTGACGAAAAAGCCGCGCACGAAACCGAAACAAAAACATCATAGGGAGTGGACGTTCGAGCGATGGCCAGGACCTCTCGTCTTGCAGCCGCGCGCTCCAGCATCCATCCCCCCCCGCCGCGCTGTTCGGCCGAACCTCCGTGGGAGACCCTCGCCTCCCAAGAGTCGTGCGAGCCAGCACGGGCACCTCTCTTCTGCGATGGACCTCTCCTCTTGCAGCCGCGCGCTCCAGCAGTCCCCCCCCTCGCGCCGCGCTGTTCGGCCGAACCTCCGTGGGAGGCCCCCGCCTCCCAGGGGTCGTGCGAGCCGGCCGCCCTGCGGTCGGCGGAGGGCTGCGGGGCCGTGATGAGGTCGGGCCCGTCCCTCTGCAGGAGGAATATTCAGAGACAGCAAGAACGTAGTCTGGGGACTATTGTTTGAGTATATTTTGACAATTTTGGAGTACCCTTGTCAGTTTTGGAGTACTTTTTTTCGGGTATGTTTGACATACTTCTTATTTTTTCGTCAAAATTCCCCCGTGTACGGGGACACGCCCGACGTAAGGCTATGATCTATGATTGCGGCCACTTTGTCCGCCTCCGCCTCTTTCCTCCGCCTCCTCCTCCGCGTCGGAAAAACTCTCTGAGCGCTCTGGAGCGCTCTGGAGCGGCCGCGGCGCCCGATGCGTCCCTCGCCGTGGGATCTCCAAGATCCCCGATCTGTCCCGATCCGACCGTGTGCCTCTTGGCATCGCTCGGACGTGTGCCTTTTCTTTCGCGGCGAGGACCTTCGAGGAGCATCCTCGACCATCTGGCGAAAAATCCATGCACGGAATCGAACAAAAACACAGGGAATGGACGTCCGAGCGATGGCCAGGTCTTGGTCCTGGCTGCGTCTCACTCCGGGGGCGGGGCGGGGCCGCCCTGAAGTCCTAGCGCCTTCTGATTCTGGTTTGTACGAGCCCGTGCTTACCCGGCCGGTGCTCGTCTCCTTACTGTTCTTGCTTCGGGATCGTCATGTTGCCGTTGGTGACACCGCGAGCCTCTCGCCCTATCTTCAACCTTCAAAGCACGTACTGCTCCCTCCTCGCTCCCCTGATCATCATGCCCAGAACTGCCGTCGCCTCTCTCGCGTGTTTGTCTCCCGCATGATTTCAACAACACTGCTGACGGTTCCAGTGTTTTTTTGTTCTTTCAGGGTAGACCATGTTTGTTGTTCGATCGGCGCGTTCACTGTCCTTTGAATTGTGGTCCAGCTGCAGGGTTGGCCGCATTTCATTGTCGGCGCTGTGCTCCCGTCCAGAATGGAGCTTTCGCCTGAGCCCAGGCCACATGTCTGGATCCGATGCTTGCCTCGTCGTTGCCGCTTCCCCCTCGTTGCCCCTTCTCTGCCTCTCCTTTGTTCTCCGTCTCCTGCTTATCCTACTCTTGCTGCTCCTGCATCTTGTTCTTCATCCTGCTCCCTGTCCTGCTCCGTGCTCCTGCTCCCCGTCCTACTGCTGCTGCTTCTTCATCCTGTTCCCTACTCCTGCTGCTTCTTCATCCGCATCTTCACTATGCTCCCTGTTCTGCTCATCCGCCACCTCCACCTCCATCTCCTCCCTTTGCCTCGGAGAAGGCGATGAGGAGGCGTGCCTTCCCCCTTCCACACGGAAGTGCGGGTTCTGTTCGGCCGGCCACCAGGCCACGTACCACATTTTTAGCGTTTTGGTGTGATGTGGGGTGAATTGCCTGGAGCCGCATATTATCTTGTGTAGGCTGAGAAGTGCAGGAGAAGCAGCCGGAGAATGGTGACGAGGAGTGAGGGGCGAGGAGGCCTCGCGACCGCGCGCGGTTGTCGACCGCAGGCGCCTATCTCCCAGACGAAAGGTGCGTCGCCCAGCAGGGTCGACGAGGACTCTGGGGCTTGCAGGCCAGTTGTGCGGTCGTTCCTTCAGGGTTGGGCGGAGCTGCAGATTGTTGGGCCTCTTCCTTCCATGTCCCTTCCTTCTGTATAATTTGTCATCCGTCTCATTTTCATCCCTCCGTCTTTCCCTTCCGCCTCCTGCCTCCACCTCCCTCATCCTCTTTTCTAGTCCTTCCAACCCCTCGTCATCCTCCTCCTTCGCGCTCTGCCTCTGTCCCCTTCCTCTCTAAAAAAGCCGGGCGGCACCCAGGTGGGTCCCCAACCCCGTCACACATGGACTACTGGGAATTGGGGTTGTGGTCCCGGGCCCCTCGCCAGCCGCCGCCTGGGCACGGCCTCTTTGAGGCCTGGCCCCGGGGCATTGCTGGCTTGGCTGCGGTGTCGAATTATTCATTGAATATTCATGCATTTGACTGGTGTAGAATTGTGAAGCGACGTCGCTGAATGAGTCACTCGGGGGCCGCAGTCCTCTGCGAATGCCCCCGCTCGATGAGAAGGTGGAGGAGGAGGAGGGGAGGGGGGCCAGACACTAACAGGGGCGGCTGGCGAGAGGCAAGGAGGAGGAGGGGGGGAAACGGGGTCGGTGGTGACCGCGTTGGGCGTCGTGGCCGAGGTCGTGCTCGTCGTGGGTGCGAATCGCCATGCCGCCGGGGCCGTCGCGGTCGATGTGGCCATGTATGCCGCTGTCGCTGGGGTCGCTATTGTGGTAGGGGCAGACGTGCCAGTTGTGGTGGTGGTAGCTATCGTAATCATGGCGTGGTAGGCGGACCCGTCTGGCCTATCTGGCGCTAAGCACGTTCCTCCCCTTGCTGCCGCTCCGCTTCTCCGCTTCCCTGACCTCCCTGCCCCGGGCCCTGTCGAGTTCGGCAGCTGGCGGAGGCGGGGGGCATGGATCATTTCGAGTTCTTTGATTCGATTCGATTTCGATGGCTTCCGTTTCCGATTCGATTCGACTCGGGATTCCGATTTGGGGCTCCTATTCTTTCTTGGCGGCATACTAGCCTGCCGATTTCCGCCGATTCGACTTTTCCCGACTCGACTGCCGATTCCCGCCGATCCGATTCATTTCGATCGCCGATCTGGCCTTGGTGCCCAAAGCAGCAGCTGAAAAGGATGAGGAGAGGAGCGCGCCCTCTCCCCCCCCGTGGGCAGGGGGCCGCGGTCCGCGGACGAGAAGCGCGACGAGAGGGACAGGCTGCAGGCCGGCCGCGCGCCGCCTGGGAGGGCCTCCCCCGGCAGCTCCCGACGCTGGCGGCCCCAGCGACGCGGGCTCGGTGCGACACCAGCCTTGGGTCGGGCATGTCCCCCTACAGGCGGATTGTGGATGAAAACTAGGTAATGGTCCAGCAGTTTTCCAAGAATGTGCAAACATACTAAGAAAAATCGTCCCCATAGGAGCGTTTAAGCAATTTTTGAGCATGCCTCTTGTAGGGGGACACGCCCGACTTACCACCAGCCGGATTGGTGGGAGCGAAAAGAGCTATTGAAAATGACGAGGCCACGGTGACAGCGGTCGCGTAGGGGTGTTTTTTGTGTTTTCTGTTGCCGCGTTGCCGCCTGCGTGTGGGGGAGCTGTTGGCGCGCATGCTGTAGGGATGCCCCGCCCGAGCGCGAAGGCGGTTGCGCTCTTGCAGAGGGTTCAGGCCGAGAGAGCCGCAGTAAACGCCGCGACGGCCTCATGTTCAACAGGCACGTAACAGTCTGTCACCCATCGCTTTGGCCCCGAGAGGATCATCGATGAAAACCCTCATCCTCCATCGTCCACCTCTCCTTTGCCATATCCCTTCTCCCCTGTCGCGCTCGTCCTTACCTTCGTGTTTCCCCGGCCTGCCTCCCCAAGTTCCGCCACCGTGCCAGCGCAACACTGTGCGGCGACGCCTTGGGCACCGCCTACAATATCGTAGCATGTGCGCCCTTCTCGCTCTTATTTCTACTGAGCTCTCATCGGCCTGCTTGGGGGGTTGTCTTGGGGCCTTCTTGGGCCGTCTTCGTGTTGGAATGGGCGGTCGTTGCGTCTCTTGGCCGTCTAGAGTCAATCGAAGCTCCCTTGGGGGTCTGTTGGAATCATCTTGGGCTGGCCTGTCTTAAGGTCCTATCGGGCCTTCCTGGGGTTCCGCATGGAGCTGTCCTGGGCCGTTTGGGGGGGACGGGGGGGGGTCCTTGATACCCTACGGGGCGATGTGCCGGTGTTGGTATCCCTGACGTTCCCCCGAGGCTTTCTTGGACACACCTGGAGTCGAGAGGCCCGTGGCGTCAAACATATTGAGCTCCCCCGATTCTGTCGTTTGTTTCAGTTGTCATTGGAGCGCTTGGGGAACGTTTGGCGTTTCTTGCCGTTTGTCGTCTCCTTCGGACCTTGTGGGCGTCTCTTGAGGGCCATCTTGGCAGTATGGATGGCCTCCCTGGGTCGGTTTGGCCTTGCCCTGGGAATGCGTACGGCCACCCAGAGGGCCAGGAGGGGGGTGTACTCGGCGAGTCGTGATGAGGAGGAGGAGGTGAGCAAGGCCTTCTCGAGGACCTGCAGACATCCTACCAGGCAGCACGACGACAGATCTCCCACCTTTGCCCCTGGCGCCTGGTGCCTTTGAGTTGTGCTCTGCTTGTGCTTCCTCGCAGCGTCGCGTGTCTGCGAGGGAACCTGGGCGTGGTTGGGTGTCACAGACGCCAGTCAATGAGTCCTCAAGCACATCCACGCGTCATCCTGCGCCCTTTGCCCTGCGATTCCACCGCGTCGGTGACCGTGGCCAATGTTTGTATCCATCTGTTCATGCTTGTCCCCCTCCCCTGCCTCCTCACATGTTCT